TGAACCAGGACATCAGGCTGGTAAAGCAGAGGGTCCGTGCAAAAGAGGAAGCCTCTCAATGAGATTTGTGGACCCCGTGGCTGCAGTAATGGGCTCAGACAGAGCAATAATTGTAAGGATGACCACAGCAGGACAGTCTTTGTTCTGTGGTCCTTTGGTCCTCTATGAGCTGGAACTGACTGACGGCACGTACCAACAACGACGCTGTAGTCAGGCTCTGTAATAGCGCCTGGATAAGAACGGAATTGGCTTTACTCCTGTTCTAAGGAGCGCTGGCTGTGCAGTGAGTTAAGCGTCGGCTGCTAGCCACAATGTTCACACCCACATGCTGCTCTGTAGGAAAAGGTGGAATCTCCACTCCCATGAAGATGCCGGCCTTGGAAGCATGACGCGGAGGACTTCTGCTCTCTCCTGAAGGACCCCTATGAGTTGAAATAAACTTTGTGGCCACGTTTCTTCGTCTCCTTTTCTCCCGTCCTTACGTAGTTTCCCACATTCACAGCTCACTGTCATTGAGTCAGTTCTGACACACAGACTCGACAGGACCGAGTAGAACTCCCCGTGGGTTTCTGTGACTGTAACTCTTTGTGGGAAGAAAGCCACATTTTTCTCCCGACATAGTTTATACTAGAGGACCAATAGCTACTATTTACTAAATGTGAGGATCCTCTTTTGCTTAAAGCTCCCAGTTGACACATGTATTGCACTGGGATTGACATGCCTTATCTCCCTGAGTCCTAAATGAGCACTCTGACATGGATGTATTATTATCAATTTGTAGACTCCTATAACTGAAAACAGGGGGTGGAGGCGGGACGAATCTCACTGGAGTCCTTTCTTGAAACGATCTTGAAAAGCTTGTGTGGTTTCTGAATCTCGCAGCCTTTTGCAAGGAAGGCACTTCTGGCTTCTGGGCTTAAGAACTTACAGCCATCATCCTTGTCAGAAGCCAAGTTCACAAACGAGGAAGCAGAATGGCTGCAATTCACTTATACTGGGACTATGTTTAATGCATAATAATTCATCCAATCCCTAAGCTAGCCCTGTGAGGTAGATACTATTGAGACACCCATCTTCCAGACGAGAATACTGAGGCAGAGGATGGAGCTTTCCCAACATTACACAGATGATAAGTGCCTAAACTAAGGGCGATGCCATTCCGTTTATCCTAGAGCTGCAGGCGTGTATGGAGGAGGATGCTCCAGTGCAGACATGGACTTAGACAACGCATGATTTGGGAAGCTCCAGACATCTTACTTTCCAGAAAAACAACCAGCAGGAAAGTGTTGGATTTCAAAGTACCCAAGGGAAACTGAGGAATCTCCTAAGACAATCGTTCCAGAAAGCATAGTCGTCCTGTTTGTCATGACTGGGGAAGATACCTTTACCGATGAAGAGAGGTCATACAGAGAAACCAGTACAACAAGCAACGGATGACTCAGAAAGGTCTTCACATTATTTCTATAGCTCTGACCTTGGGATCTGCAAAGGAGGGTTCAAGGGGAAGGTGTGAGGGAAGATAGGAGTACAAGATCAGAAGCAGTTGACTTACTTTTTGAATTTACTCCCCGCACTTTCTGCCACATAGTAGCCTGGCTTGCATTCATATCTGCAGACAGAGCCCACATCATGGTTGCCCTGGAGGCAGTGAGGCAGGAGCAAGTTGGCATTGGGTATAACCGGAGGCACATCACACTCCAACTTGCAGTAGGCTTCCGGGAGGGACCAGAGCCCACCCGTAAATGACCCTACAGGGCCATGTTCTGCAGCCTCTGAGGGGCTGCAGGTGAGTGAACGGGCAGGCACGAAGACAGAACAGGGAAGCAAGGCAACAGCGGCTTTCCGGCCCCTCTAATAACAACACGTGCATTTGGAGATGACCTGCGCACCTGAGTCATTTGCATCACCTGCAAATTACACCTAGATCAGATGAAAACCACATGCAAAGGTGTTCTCAGTGGTCAGAAGCTGTTTGCTACACCTGGTAGATGCTGCCTCCGATGAATTTTTCATCAGCATTGTTCATGCTCTGATCAGCTTGGCTCTTGCCTGGGGCTTAGTGAAAGAAGCTTGCCCTTCCCCAACCCTCGTGAGCCCCAGTTTTCTCTGCAGGGGAAGGTCCGGGTTAAGGAA